GTCGGCGCGCATCTGCTTGATCGCGGCTGGGGGGAGAACACCGTGTACCACCGAGACGTTCACTCCTCCCTTCTCGAGGACGGTCTGTAGGGCATTGGGGGAAACGGTGGCTCCGTCGTCGGCAGGAGTCGCGAATACACACGACCTCCCACTTCCGCCCTCGGCCCGCACCCACGAGTCCCGCTTGAAAGGCGGTGCATTGGGATCGAGTTTCTCGAAGGCGAGTACGATTTTATCTTGCAGAGACTTGACGTATTCTTCAACTCTTTGGCGCATGGGTGCCATGTTTTGGGAGGTGGAGGTAGTTGGGGTTGTGGTGGTCAATGCCGAGGATGGACAAGCTCGGGAAATTTTGCTCCAGGGACAAGGCAATCCCCGTCGACTCGAGTATTTATGCCCACACCGTTATCGACTCCATACTCGATACCGGCCGCCTCGGACACTCTGGAGCTTCGTTACAAAAACCTGTATGTGGGGCGATGGTAGTGGTGGTGGTCGAGGTTCTTGGCCGAGGCGTCTTCGATTTTATCTTGGCATCGGGTGCTGAACCGGCGCGGAGAGGGTGCTTACCTCTTCGACCATTGTCATTGGTGTTTAAATGTTTGCTTGCGCTTCCGCGTTCTTCTTTCACGCTTCAACCCTCGCAGGTCAGTCGGAATACTGGCACTCCTCCATGAACCCAATTACACGCCTCAGTATGTGTCGAAGGACCTTGACAGGGCAGAACTAGAATTGAGTTGCCAATAGACCTCCAGCCGTGGCGAGACTCTTGATGGCCAGGATACGTCGCAACCCACTTGAAACAAGTCGAACGACCTTACAAAAACGAAAATCCTGATTCGACATGGCTTTGGTCAAGTCTCTCAACGATGTCCTCCCTTCATACCCTGCTCTCCGATCAGCAGTCGACGAGACAAGAATAGTGAACCTCGGGCGAAGGGGATCACCGATATCAGCACCGAGGGTGGATCCACGGTACCGTGCGCCCACTATGTAACCTAGGGGTTGCATAAAAGAAGGGGTCGGTCTGTGATAGCATTTTTTTTTCTCGTTCAACCGACCGATCTTGACAGGAAAGCAGGAGAGGCGTCGACGACGATGGCATTGCTATCGCTCCTTCTAGCCGACTCTGTGCGCTTTCCGCTCCTCCAAGTCATCCGAGTGGTTTCTGTCGCCGTTAAACCATCCCTTTGTCGAATCTTATTCTTCCCACTTCTCTGCGCGGTCGTCTTTACCATCGTTTTTGTGCCTTTCGAGCACCCTCTTGCACCCATGGCTGAGTGGGGCATGGTTGGATCAGCGATTCTCGCCCTCGTTCAGTCCTCGCATTTCATCTTGCTGTCGGAACCCCAGCTCGAATTCAGGCGCAACAAGCAATCGAAGCCAACCGCCGTCGACCTCACGTTCATCCAACGACTCGGATGGTCGGTCAATCTCTTCTTCAATTTCCGTGGCGTCAATTGGTCGTGTGAGGTTCCTGGTCTCAAGCATTCGTCGCTTTCGCGCTGGGCATTCGTCAAGTCCAAGGCCAAGGAAGCAGCAATCTTCTATCTTCTTACGGACGCAACGTTTCTCCTCGTCCGCCGTAACTCCGCCTTGTCAGGGGAGGGCGAGAGGTTGGATGCGCACGGATTTTTGTGGCAACCGTGGAACGTGGTCGTTACGTGGGCCTTCATGTATGTGGGCACACGCTGGCAACACACAATGGGTGCAGCTGCCTTCGTCGCACTTGGCTTTTCGGCGCCTGATGACTGGCCCCCGTTGTTTGGGCCTTTGTCAGAGACAACGACGTTGAGGAAATTCTGGGGGTACGTTCAAATTCTTCACAGATTATCTCAATCTGATTTTTTTCTACGACATAGGAAAACATGGCATCAGTGTCTCCGCATGGTTGGCATTCCCTTCTTGTTCTGCTGGCCACGTAGTCTAATATGAAGTCATCTGTAGATGCTCACCTCGCACGGACGGTACCTTGCTCATCGCATCTTCAAATTTCGCAAAGGAGGCCTCCTGTCCTCTTACACTCAACTCTACACCGCCTTCTTCCTCTCCGGCCTCATACATGCCTTCACCGAGTTTCCCTACGATCGTAAACTCACTACCAACGCCCCAGTAGCGTACTTTTTCTGGGTCCAAGCGGTGGGTATCACCCTCGAAGACACTGTACTGGCGCTCGGCAGAAGACTCGGTATGAGACACGTCCCGAAGATCGTTGGATATACTTGGGTTGTATTTTGGATGGGCTTGACCAGCCCTTTGTGGTTGCAAATTCATAATTCGAGGGGTCGGAACGTCTTTGCTTTCTCTTTGATTAGTACTTTTTTTTCATGAAGAATCTTTTGTTGTTCCCTTTTCCGCCTTAACAGCATTTCGTTGACCTCAGCGCTCGATCCTATTTCCCAGCAGAGTTTTTGTGGTAGCTTTTTGTGTCCTATCGTGTAGTATTTGGCAGTGTTGCAAAATATCGCGTGATGTTTGAATTGCGGATTGCGAGGGTCCTCTTCAACATGGAGACTACCAAAGAGACTACTTATCGAGAAAAATGTGCTCCGAGCTAGCCGAGAGCATCAGCGCTCTACAGGTCCAGAGCACCAGCGTAGAATCCCCTGTGTCTCCCCATGGTCTAATAATAAACGATCTCCACTTCTAAGCTCGACCATCGAGGTGCCGAGCGCATGTTGGGACCGTGCCTTGGCGACCGTAAAAGGAAATACTTCCCTAATCGTGCATAATCGAGGATCAGCGCTGATACCAAATCCGAATTCGGTAACTGTGAACGCCGGAGACGATGAAAGAAAGACAACCAAAAAGACGTTTAGATTGTCGAGAAAGTCATACATATGGACGCTATTCCGAGGTTAAATGTACAGAGATTTGTTTTGTGGGCTTCGTAGTTATAAAGAGAGAAATTCGTAACGAGGAAGGAACTTCGTGTGAACTATTTCGAGATGCCGTTCGACTGTGCGACCGTGGTGGGCGGAGGTAGAAGTTCTTGATTTCTACCATTGCGGAAGATTTGCCTCCGCCAACGCCTCTCTTGAATGATATTTTAGTATCGTTTAAGTGTCATGGGTCGAGAATAACGAAAACAACTCACCAGCTCTAGGAGCCAACGGCGATAGACCTCGTGCCAGGGGTGTAGCAGAACCCATTGTCAAGACGAGTCCCGCAGGTGGATAGCTGGTGGCAGCTCCCACCGCACCCACCGCGATCGCAAAACCCGACATTATTAGTGGCTGCGAGGCAATTGGTGTTGGGAGCGTCAAGGCACGTGGCGCCGCCGTCGTAGACTGTGCAGGCTCCACCGCAGAGGTTCTCAATTCGAGTGCTGCAATATGTGACCCTGGTGTTGAGTGTCGCACGAGGAGCGAGCGGATTCGGCGCCGTGTTGCCGTAGTAGGTGATCTCGGCATCGGTGGTGGCGAGCCAGTGGTCGAACTCAGCGTCAGTCCAGATGAAGCTGGCGGGAGCAGCCTCCTAAAAAGTGCCCATGAGCTGTGATCGTTTAAAGAGCTCAGAACGTACGGGGGTCGGGCTGGCGCTACCTGCGACTGCTATAGCAGTGAGGATGAACAACTTGGCGAGACCGAAGAACTGCATGTCGATGATGAGTTGGGTTGAATCCGGTGAAGGCTTCTGACGTTCTGACCCCTCCCTGGTCAGCCTTTATAACTTTCAACTGCCCATAACGACCAGTCTAGACTTTAATCTAAGGTCTGTTCGAACTTCCTCCAGCTTAGCCGTCGTCTCAGGCGGAACGTCTTTAGGTAACTGTAGTCCTGTTGAGGACATAAAATTCGACATGCGGCTTTACTCTGTCCAGCTGATTGGCAGCGGCCCGTAATTGAGTGATAGTGATAATTGCAAAGCACATGGATCCGCCGGAATATACTCAATGCCTAAGAGCTATACGTTGAGAGATCTAACATCGACTTGATGCCTTCAGATAGGTGCGCGAGGGTTACCTTCCAAACTGGCTATGTATGATAAATAACGGGGTGCTAGTCTCCTTAGTACTCCTGCACAACTTCCCATATCGTCTTTGCGATGGATGTTATTATTGTGAATGGAATGGGTAGACGTCGCTGAAGCACTATAGTCTGTGAGCGTCCAACGGGTCTTCCCACCGAAAGTTGTTAAATTCTCTTCCTCAGGCACCTCGAGCTATTTTAAAATGCAATGCTGAGGAAGCCAACCCCGGATTGAACTTCGCTGACCAAACTGTTGACTAAATGGAACCTCTGGTACAAGCTCCCCCAGGCTGTTCTACCGTGTTGGCTGGACATGGTCGAGCGACGCTGCGATCCGAAGAAGAGGGCCTCTAACGTTAAAAGCCGCATGGTAGTGAGAAGTCTCCGCCCTATTTACCTGCGCATTGGGTATCGATAGTTATGTCAAATACGTTTTGAGGTCCAAGGGTCGGATGGCGGGGTTTTCGGGGACGAACGAAGAATTTACGGACCATTCCTGAGGCGTTCCGAGTTCGCAATCATTGTAAATAACGGCACGAGTGCCCCCTGGCATGTCAAGAACTTGGAGTCATTGACGAATACGAGGTTGTCGGAGAACGCGAACCTGCGCCTAGTTGAATACGAAAATCATTTTGAAAATCCTTTCGTTGATTATACACGTGCGTCGGGCCGAGGACAGGGAATGGGCGAAGTTGCGTCAAGTTGCCTCTGTCACCGTGGGCCGACCTCTTCACGCTTTATGTCTCCTTGGCTAGACACCCGACTTTTCTTGCGCATTCCTCTGGATTGCACTGCAGAGCAGACAAAAGTCATTAGCATTCATGGGCGCTTGTGCGCCACAATCTCAATTTGAAATGGCTTATCCTGAGTGGCGCATTTGGTCAATATTAATTTCTTACGAGCGATGATCGCACTCCCAAAAGAGACACTCTTGAAGCCCTATGAACCAAGGACAACGATTGTCTCAACAGCAGGACTAATAGCAATGTGTCATTAGTGTGTAACTAAAATGCAGGCAATGTCTCGATCATGTAAAGCAAAATAACGAACTCAGCCTTCTAGCGATCCACTGCAGCTTACTCCTCGAACCCGCGCAATAATAAGAATAAAACCCATGGTATATAAGTACTTAACGTCGTCATCATGCATGTATCTCGGTCGAGGAATCCAACCCTGGAAGATCCACGGTAGAACGTAGCACGGATTCATTTTGCAGGCCGGCCACCCTTGGTCACCCTCGAGGAAGGACAACATTTGACAATTGAAGGCAGGGACCAGAAAATGGTGACATCCTTAAATCGTCTCACCAGAAACGGGTCTGGACGGCGTTCAAGTTGTTGTTCATCCGCAGCATGACAATGTTCGCAGTTAAACTCGAGAACTGTGGACAAGTCAGTACCATATCAATGAAAGAGGATGAAAACTTCCTCACCCCATTGCCGACAAATAGCTCTGCCCTTTGTGCAACGAACATATCGAGGGCCTGCGCGACGGGCTTCTCTTCCCATCCAAGGTCCAAATCGCGGCTCGTATGTACGCCCTCCCATGCCCACTCGAAATCCCACCCGTCCTCGCCGCCAGTCTTTGCCTTCGACGCTTCAGCATCAGCCTCCAGCGCGGCTTTGACCTCCTTCAGCCACTCGCGATCGCCGTTCGTCATGACGTAGACCTTGTTGAGGCGCCTGTTGCCCGGTACGAGGACCTTGCTGTGTGGTGAACGGGTTTCGAGGCTCTTCTCCTGCTCCTCAACGAACGCCTCATAATCCTTCACAACCTCCCTCACACGCTTGACAATCTGCTGGGCATCAGGGTAGCAGTGGATCTTGTAGATCCTCTCCCTCTCCTCATTAGACGAAACCACCTTGGGGTCGTTGTATCGACGCTGCTGGACCTGGGGGGCGATGAACCCGTCACGCTCGGTCGACTCTGGGAACGAATTGAACCCGGTGTATGGTGCCGTCCAGCCGGCGAGGTTCTTGCAGTGTTCCGCGAAATCGCCGCGGCGCACGTGTAGAGCGAGAACAGGCAGAGGCGACGTGTCGTTCGTGAGTGCGAGCTCGAGCTTGTTGGTGGTGGATTGGGGTGATTTTGTGAACCAAGAGAAAATCCCAGAGGACGGCTTGATCAGGTCGGCCGCTGACACGAAGAGCTGCACGTTCCTTGCGAACGCATTGTGGATCAGAGGCGACCACCCCCAGTTCCTGAGAATGGGCGAGTCCCGCAGGTCCGGCCACATATTCTGCAGGCGTGTCGACCCGAGCAGCCTACAGAAAAAATAAGCTTGCTTTCACGTTCATCTACGGCTACAAACGCACCAGATATCAAACACTTGATGGCTACCAAACTTGACCTCCACACAGCGCGCGTCGGCATACTCGGGTTGCTGCAGCACCGACAGCCAGACGTTCATGATCGTCATCCCGTCATCGTTCCAGAGGTCGATCTTCAAGTCGTTCTTCTTGATGTACTCCTCGACGATCGTTCGCTCAATGTACACCCGCTCGTTCTCTGGGCAGACTTGATAGTAAACTTCTTTGTAGATTGAACGTGGGATGGTGCCGTCATGGGGTCCTTGGCCGAGGATATGCCCTGCAAGGAAACGGTCAGAAATCGCACGGCGTTGTTCGCCCGTGAGTGCGGGAGGGCCACAACGTCGTGCTAATCGACAGCCTCCTAGCACCACGGACAACCTGCACAGCAAAACAAAACCACATACCTGAGAGCATCGTAGACAGAGGAATGCGAGAAGGAATCTTCTTGCCGTTGAAATCCGAGTACTCTGGCCCGTCGCGGTTCCACGTATAGTCGTCCCATACGAATCTACGAATCACTGAGGATGAGACAGAAATGCGACCGCACACGACTCACCCTCGCCTCGCCTTCACAGCCAACAGCTCGCTGAACAGCATCTCCTGCAACACGTTCCCCCACCCACACGAATACGCATGATTCGCAAAGAACATGTACTTTTCCGTCCCGTTTGCGTTGCGAACCGTCTCCTCAGCGAGCCGCTCCTCGTATTTGCGGTATTCCGGGTAGAGAGGCGGTAGGTTAATCAGTGGTGCGCTGTACTGGAGGTGAGGGTATGGATTCCGCTCCCATGAGTGCAAACTGAACCAGGAGAGGTCAAAGAACCAGAAGATGCCAAAGGCGACCAACGTGGCGGCAATGAGACGTGTGTATCGCTTGGGAAGGTTGAGCAGTGCGCTCGGCACGCAGCTGGACGCTCCTTCTGCCGGTTTTTGCGGCGCAATACTCTGCTCAGCGGTGGGCAGTAGGGCGTAGTCGCGCCATCTCCAGGATGAGAAGAAGCTGGTCATCGTGGTGGTCAAGGAAAGGCCTTAAATTTGATGCCAAGTCACTAAGAGCTAAGAGTATTGCCGCCGTCCAAAATTAAATACCAAACAATGTTCTAAGAAGCGCCTTAGCTAGTGTAACCGGTATCTTACAGGGCAGTGAATCAAGCGAGGGTGAAGGAATGAATAGTAGAAACAAAAGGACGGCTTTTCAAGAAAGCTTCACGATGCCATTCGAAAGATGCTGGTGCTTTGACCTTGACCGCAACCCGGCCATTTACTACATGATGGGGTACCAGGCTACCAGCGACGTTTTTTCGGGTCAGAAGTGACTGCAGCACCTTCCTAAGTAGCTTATCCACAGCGAAGGGAGGGAGAAAGGGATTGCGATGTATCCATTGGTCTTCCAGCAGTTGCGCAAAAAAAAAAAAAATCGCTTCCAACATGGAACGCAAGGTGAATTGGGCGAAAATCGAGCGGTATGATCTGGTATGATGTGAAAAGTCAGAGGTCACGATGCCGCTTTGTTCCCGAACGCAGCCTTACGTCGTAATACTCTCCTGATCTCTACGCTACACAGGCTCCTAAAACCAGCCGCCCGTATCGCTTATAGGCGGCTTTCTAGAGGATGGATAGAGGGAATTATCTTATCGGATCGACATCTTATAAAAATATAAATAATGGTAAATGCATCTAAGTTTCCTGACAAAGTTCACAACAACGCCCACTCTCACCTTCTGACGGATTGACGCCCGCCTCGGAAATACGAAAACTCCATATATGCGAGTTATGTACCTGATAGTCAGGCAGATTGATGCTTTTACACATTCGGGCTCTTGAAAACGCCATGTGTTCCCCACTGTCCTGGATGACAACACCTCTTTTTCGCGCTCCAGAGTAACCCGAGGACATTTCTCGGTAGAGGCCTGTTGTGGTCATGAAAAGTGAGTAACTTGTTGCCTTTTGAGACGCTGGAGGCAGTTTACCCATTCTGTCTTCCTGCTAAAACGCAGAGCGACCGACAAGGAGGGCCCCGGTTCCTTATCATCTTGACTTCGACGAGCGCGGAGGTGATACAATCCAATTGTGATGAAGAATATGATCGCCTGAAACGAATGCACAGCCTGTACTCGTCCAAATGGCAGACATTCATTGACGTGTTACGACAAGAACAGGGATCTTCAGGGAAAACTTTCCTGCACTCTATTACACACACTCTTTTGTGGTCGTTTGCGGCTCGCTTTCCGCCCCATCGACAAAAGAGAGAACACGGGATCGCATTTATCACTCCTTTTATCGGGTTTGCGGCCTGCGGGCAGGCGTCAACGCCATGCAGGACGCACCTATCTCCCCCCTTTTTTTTCCATCTGAGGGCATGTGTTACCCGATAACCGCCCTTTTCTCTCGAACGTACCAGACCCTGACCTCGATAATGCTGTCCGGAATCCTATATAAACGCCATGGGCGCCTCTTGCTTTTCCAACCCAATCTTTCAACATGGACGACGACCTTCGCTCATCGAACGCTATTCGCAACACTCGAAAAGATTTCGAAGAATGGTCCAGAAAGCATACTACGCTGAAGACCCAACTGCCCCCCAAGGATGGCCGTGACTACCTTCGACATGCAAGAAACCTCATTCCTCTTCTGGAAGGAGTTGCAGAGTTGCATCCTTTCGCGAAAGGTAGCATACCCTTGCCCGCATTTATTTTGTCCGTCAGCTGACTTTCCTAACAACAGCTATTGTCTTCAGTTTCAGGGCTGTGATCATGTTCGAGCACGATCGTAAAGAAAACGAAGCCCGGGTGACGAGCGTTTTCCTAGCGCAGACGGATATGATGCGAGTCCTCCTTAGGTTGGCCCCTTCGTTTCTCCTCCCCTTACGGAGAAGAGAGCTAAATTTATCTCGTCATAGCCTCGATGATCTGGATAAAAGACGTCGCGATTATCATGATTCTGGCGACGAACCCGATGATCTACACAAAGAGCTAATGGATCGTATATCGTACGATATCACAGACTGTGGCAATAGCATCGACACTTACTACAAGGAACATCGAGTTTGTGGTTCGTTTCTTCTGCTATGGGCATCATACGTTGACTCTGTACGTACTACAGTGAAATTCTTTAGAGCCGAGGAATGGAAGCAGCGTCTGCTGGGATATGTGGAAACGTTCAACAATCACCGCCTCAGTCTGCAACAGACTCTCCAGATTCATGTCGTCGCCGGCGTTGACGATCTCAACTTCAAGATGGACCTCATTCTCAAGAGCCTATTCGACCAGAAATATGACTGGGAGAAAACCCTCGCAGTCAAGACGCGCCAACTCGGGAATCGCTCGCGATGGATGAACAACACCAAGGTCATTGCTGAACTCGTCAAGATCTCCAACGACCATCAAGTCGATCCATCGGTTTTCAACCCGAAGAGTAGCAAATCCGCCCGATCATCGACTTCTGCTGCTTCGACTGCAATTGGTGCTACTACAGAGTTGAACACAATGGACTGGCATGCACATTTTATCGAGAACATCAAGGAGGAGTTGAACACATCACTGGAGGATCTCTGCGAGAGGAATCGAACTCTGTTCGAGACGAAGCTCAATTTCCATACGAAGCGTATCGAAGACGCCATCAGCAAGTCTGCTCAGAGTGTCATTCGAGCTCTGTCTGGCCCGTACGATCGACTTGATCATGAGGTAATTTGCCTCCTTTCCATGTTGATGTATTGTTAACATTCTACTATTCAGGACCTTCGCGAACTTTGGAAGGAAATGGTACGCTCAACACGATTTTTCAAAGGCTTATGCTGACTGCCGTTGACAGAATTGGATTTTCTGCGTCGACAATCGCCTTTTCGCCCTCGCTCTCTTCGAGTATTACCTCGACAAAATTTCCTCCTACGACCACAAACAGGCGTCTGGTGCGAGTGATCCAACGAGCCCTCCGCCTCCAGCGGATGCTACGAAGACCATTGCTTTCCCTCGCGGGCAGGGTGTGCAAAGGCTAAAGCATACTCAACATCCAGATGCCTGGACACTAGAATTTATATCAGCTTACGGTCCGAGGATTTCCAAAGCTATCGATTGCGACGATTCAGGGTTCATCCGGATCAGCGAGGCAAACGAGTTCACCTCAAAGATACCGAAGGGTTGGAATTTGCCTCAGTGGTGTGCCTATCATACCATCGGTAAGCTGCTCGCTGTTTCATATATTCCATGCGTGCTCTTATCTTTTACTCACAGGGTGGTTTTATGAAGTCCGTATCTACCAGATGCGAATGAACGAGATTTTCATTCGGATGTGCGAGCTACAGGTATCAGGTCAGTTGCAAATTCCTAGTTCTGTCACAAGTTGTTACCAATGCTTCTCGTTGCAGCTCTGCCAACCAATCGATTCTATATGCTACATGAAATATCCGCAATCGTACGGCTCTTCTTCCCTCTGTCTCGACACATCGAAGGCTCAAAGATCATTAACCCTCCAAATGAAATGTGTTTGCTAATCAAGGACAAAGTCGCTCAGCAAGACAAGCAATACCAGGACATGCTTCAGTCTTTCAAGTTTACGATTGATTCGGCGTCGACCATTCATCTCATTTTCGAAGGGCAATCACTTGAATCAGCACGTCTTGTCTTTTTAATGGCTCGTTGAAACTTATCAATTTATACCGACCTTGCAGTACATTCTCCCACTTTCCACCCTGTTGCTCGAGCATTGGCTCCACCTCATGGAGATTTGTAGCAGGGAGACTCTTGACATAAGAGATTGGAATTGGGTCGAAATTACTGTCAGTCACGTTCGAGAGGTTATCATCAACCGCATCTCGGACCTGGCAGCACAGTTTACAGCCGAGAAAGGTCCGAACGCTATTAACGGTATGCCTTTACTTAGAATTTCATATGCGTTCTCATGTCTCATTCAATGTAGACGAACTCGAGGACTTTTATGGAGGCATTTACAGCCATTTCTACCGCCAGTTCTTCCTCGATGACACCGCTCCGTATACCTACGACGACGTCGTCGCCTTCATTAGCAGCATTTCTCTCATTGGCGACTTCCCTCTCATACCAGCACCAGCAGATAGTTCGTTGGTATTGCGATACGAGTCGTGGGAGGAATACCTCAACCGTCTCGACGAGGACGACCCCGACCAGTACAATGAGCCGCCCCCGGCCTTCGATGACCCAGATGAAGACCCGAAGGAGATTCCTAAGGACAAGAGCTTTGCAAAACGAGAAGAGATTCCACAGCCTTATCGTACGTCAGCGTTACTTCATCAGTGAGCATTGAGTTGACGTCCGTTCCAGAGGCATTTGGTGCAATCATTGTGGACCTAGTTCATACATCGCTGATCAGGCCCGGTACAAATGCTTGAACTGTGAAGGTAAATGTTGGTCTCTGCTCCGCTGAGAGGGATGTAGACCTCACCTTTTGGTCGACAGACGTTGATTTATGTGCCTCTTGCTACCATGATCCTGCGGCGGCGGACGAAGTTGAGGGCCACTCATCGCTGCATACTATGCTCAGACTATTGGTTCATATCCCTCCGCCCTTTTCATCCTTAGTCAGAAATTTGGCCGAACACCAGGAGATGAAGCATACCCTTGGTCTCCAATTCCAGGCTGCTCAGACTGGGACCGTCCACATTGAATGCATGTGTTGTTCCGAAGCCATCAATGTCCATTCGACGTTTTATGCTTGCATCGGACATACCTGCGATCCTGGTGAGATCATGAATAAATTCTTCCATAAGAACAGAGCTGACATGTGCTGAAGATCGCTTTATCTGTGGTAACTGTGGCGATGCTGACCGTGAAGAAAAAGAAGGGCATCATCCCTGGCATACTGTTCTGGTGTTCAAGAATCTAAGGTTGCAGGAGGAGGACAGGGAAGACGATGTCGACCTGTTCGCGCGTGACCGAGAAATCGAAGCTGTGTCTCATGATGCAGATATCAGCGCCAGGATCAACGATCTCGAGAGTCGCATGAAAGCCTTGGAAGCTCGTGTTGACTCTGGCATGACTGAAATCAAAGGATTGTTCGAGAAGTTACTTCGCGAAATGGCCAACCAGCCCCAGCCGGTGGTCCCACAGTCTCGCGAGTTACCAGCAGCACAGGCTCCAGCTTCTGGACCTAGCGTATCGCTTCCGTCATTCGCACCCGTTCAGCCAGCTTTGGATTTTGATGCTGAAGAACGGCCGAAAGAGCAGTCGGACGAGTTCGAGGATCAACAAGAGGATCTAGGGGATTTCCAGGATGATCAAGGTGGCTACCAGCAGAACGACGACAGTGGATATCAGGAGGATGACTACTAGCTCTATCTGTGTATTTACATCGATTTCCTAGGCTCTTGGATTAATTTTTTCTGTATAGTGGTTAGTCGATGCTATGCATTTGTCCGGGCCGGACTGAACCGTCAATGAATTGTTTCTTGTCCCTCATACTGTCACATAAGTAAGTAAATTAGTGGCGGGCTGAACCTGAACTCTACCAGTATGGACTCCAATCGCACATTTCCTCCTCTATACGCCTCGACAGGAAACGATGCTCAGGATCGGCTCGCCTTCGTACATATATTGGAAAGATTGAAGGTAGAGATATTTTACAGCCGCTCTTTGGTTCTTATATGCACTGGGACGGTGTAGACGCAAAAGCGTACGGGCTGGGTAGATCATAATGTGAGAAAAAATCCGTTAATCGACTGCTTCATCACTGACTTCGGTACGACTTGTAGATTCCGAACCCAGAGAGGTGCTGCTCTTCCAACCGGTCGCGGCTCGAGATCTGACGCGTTTTTGGCTTTCAAGTATATCAGACCACATGTATCGAATGGCAATCCTCGCCATGCTGTGCGAAGACACGAAGCTAGACGTCGCCAAGTTAGTGAAACTGCGGTCGGGACTGGGTGACGTTGACTGCGCCACAGATGTGTAATGATGGCCTTGGTACACGATCTTGCTGAAGCCCAAGGTACGCCTCGTGATGTTTTACTGTTTCTATAGTTTTGAGCTGGTTTTCCTGCTCTTAGTCGGCGACATTGCACCCAGAGAAGGAATCCCAAAGGCAGAAAAGCATCGCCTCGAAGCGGAAGCGATGCACAACTTCGTTCACGACATGCTGCACAACACCCCTGCAGCCCAGAAAATATATTCCCTATGGCGGGTCAGTTCTTCTTGCCTGTAATCTAAGGCTATTTCCAACACTCTTTTCAGGAATACGAGGATGCCCAAAGTCCTGAGGCCAAATTTGTCAAGGGTAGGTGTTCAATAAATAATGCTGTTCCAGGTAGCGGACGCGCTGATGTTCTTCAACAGACCTTGACCGCTTCGAGATGGCGTCCCAAGGTCGGTTATAAAAACAAACGATACTACATTTTCTCTCTCATATTCTTCTCATAAGCTCTCGAGTACGAGCGGAATCATGGCGCGACAACCTTGCAGCCCTTCTTCGACAGCAGCATACCAAAGCTTCAGCACCCTCAAATCCAAGCGTGGGGTCAAGATTTGCTGGCGGAAAGAGAACGCATGAAGAACGATATCATTCCGACAACAGAAAAGGACAAGAGTCAATCCTAGATATTCAATAACAGTAATACAAGTTCATTTTTTGGTTCTCATTTCAGTCGTCGACTCGAGGATTTTTAATGATGGAAGAGGCGGAGCGAGGTGTGGGCAAACACGATGCCATGCTCATCAGCCGCTTTTATGCACTCCGCGTCCATGACACTACCAGAAGGAGCGGCGAGATATTTGACGCCGCTCTTCCTCGCCCGGTGGACGTTATCAGGGAATGGGAAGAAAGCGTCGCTGGAGCAGACGACACCATCCAACTTCGCTGCCCACTCACGCTTCTCTGCCTCTGCCAACGGCTCAACAGTGCCCTCAAACAAACTCTCCCAATGCTCCTTCTCGCCGCCTTCAAGCACTTCTCCAGAGACATACAGGTCGATGGCGTTGGCCTTCTCAGCTCTCTTTGCCCCCTTCTTGAAGGGCAGGGCGAGCACCCGCGGATGGTGTCGCAGCCACCAGAGGTCGGCTTTTCCACCGGCAAGGCGGGTGCAGTGGATGCGCGACTGTTGGCCGGCTCCGATGCCGACGATGGATCCATGGTATGCGTATGCGACGCTGTTGGACTGCGTGTATTTCAACGCGAGCGTCGCGACGATCAGGTCGATAACAGCAGATTCTGGGAGCTGGACGGCAAATAAGTGAAGGCGAGAAGAGGAAAAATGCGAAGACGTACCTCTTTGTTCTGGGTGACGATGTTTTCGAAGAGCTTGCTGTCGATCTTCACATCATTCCTCCTTTGACGGAGAGATACGCCATAGACTTGCTTGGTCTCGATCTCGGGTGGCGCGTACGTGGGGTCGATCTGAGAATAGGGTTCAAAAAATGACAACGAAGACAATTAAAGCACACACCTGGAGGACACAATATTTTCCCCCTTTCTTCTTGCTCAGGACATCAAGGGCTTCTGAAGAATATCCTGGAGCGATGATGCCGTCCGAAACCTCTCTGGATATAATTTTGGCCGTGGCAAGATCGCATGGGGCAGACAAGGCAACGAAGTCACCGAACGACGACATACGGTCGGCACCTGGATTCATCATCGAGCATATAAGACAACTTGTTTCGCTTGGAATTTTATATACGTACCCCGAGCGCGGGCATAGGCGGTGGCCAAAGGAGTCAAAGGTTCCTTCAAGTCGTCGACGCCGTAAACCTTCTTTTCAGTTTCATTCAATTCGACCCCTACAGCGGCACCTGCAGGTGAAACGTGCTTGAAAGACGCGGCAGCAGGGAGGCCCAACGCCTCTTGAAGCTCCTTGACGAGAGCATAAGAGTTGAGCGCGTCGAGGAGGTTGATGTATCCGGGAGAACCACAAAGAACTGGATTAGACGGTTCGTTGATCAAGACTGTCGACGTGAAGAACAGATTTCGCACCTTTGAACGGAAGAGTGCCCTCCGTGACAAATGCCTGTGCAGGCTTCTGGTGGGGGTTGGCTCCGTACCTCAGCGCGATCCTTTGTACCGGTGCAACCAGCTGCTCTGCAGGGAGCTCGGCAGTTGCGTACTGCTCCCTAAAATATCCGCTGATCGCCTCGTCATATTTCGACGTCATCTCGAAAGCTTTCAATGCCAATTTGCTCCTCAAACTTTGTCCGACATCTCCATTGCTTTTCGTCCAGGCGTCAAGGAACTCCTGATAATCGCTTGGGTCGGAGAGAATACAAACACGGGCGTGGTTTTTTGCGGCTGCACGGAGGAGAGTAACGCCTCCAATGTCGATTTCCTCGACTGCATCGGCAAGAGTGCAATTGGGTTTGGCGATGGTTGCTTCGAAGGGATAAAGGTTGCAGACCACGATGGAGATGGGCGAGATGGATTGAGCTTGGAGGTCCTGTTCGTCTGAAGGGATGCTGCGGGCAAGAATTCCTAGCGAAAAAAGAATGAATCCAAACGTCCGAAACTCAACTCGACGGTGGAAGGACTTACCTCCGTGGACAGCTGGATGCAGTGTTTTCACTCTTCCGCCCAACATTTCAGGAGCTTTGGTAATATCGGAGACATCCCTTGAAGACAGACAGCATGAGCCGAATGTTGATCAGTATCGGCGAACCACACACACTCGATAGGAATTCCAGCATCCCTGATCTTCTTCGCAGTACCTCCAGATCCCAGCAAACGAACGCCGGCGTCTCGTAAACCTTTAGCAAGTTCCAGCAGACCTGTCTTGTCGTAGACCGACAGCAGTGCTAGACAATGTGGGTGAGTTGAGGTATGTATTGATCGCAGTGAACCATACCAATGCTTTGCGTCATCCTGAAGCTTCTGCACAGCGGAATAGGTAGGAACAGTTGGCAAGGACACTGCAAAAATTCAATCGATCCACCAATTAGGACCTAGATGGTCTTTATGGAGAGATAAGATAAGATCTACCCGTGACGATGGGCTTATCTTATCTCTGTTCCGGGCGTCGAAGGCGGACCATCGCAATAATATTTTCTAAAGTGACCCGTTGGTCCTCCAAAGTTGGAGAATATTTACTTCCAGAAAGAATCCTAGTCCCTCTTTCTTATATAGTAGGCCTCGTACTGTGGGAATCGGTATTTTGCGGGCGCCTATCTGGGTCTTCGAACTTCGAAGTGAGTTCGGTCGAGGTTGACAATCACAGACGCGGAGTAAGTTTCTGTGGAAACACTAAGTGCATGCAACACCGCACGAAATGACAGTCAAAATTCATTGGACGAGCAGAAACAGGGAACGGTTCGAGTCACCAGAGGCTGAGAATTGCAGCGCCAGTTCTGTAAACACGATGTAAAGCAGTGCATAGAGGAAGGCCGTAGTAACCGAAACAACAGGATAAACAGTGAAGCGAGCAGACGAGCTGAATATGAGGAATACGACGGCTACATAAAATATTAATAGCCATATGTATGGAAGTGTAAGGGACGGAGGAGATGGTAAGGAATTGAAAGTTCACGACGCAGACAGTGGTCCATCAGAGAACGACGTACATTCCGATGGGCCCCTGCCAGCAAGTTCGCCAGAGGGACCAGCAGCGCAGGACAAAAACATCGGCGTGAGGCTAAGCAACCTTGAGGCGTCCGTTAAATATTTAGAGTCTTGGATGGCGGATATAAGGGCTTGCTCGAGCAAACACCCCGAAGCCAAAATGCCGGTCAACAGGACAGCGCTCGAGGACTTTCTTTCCTCCTGAGGGAGCCTCGAATCTTCCTATCGCCCGCTCTTTAATGACCACAGAGAGCCCTGCCCCTGGTATCCAACAGTCAATATCGAAGTGCAGTGAGGATGACAACGAGGTAATGTACCTTCTTCTCAAGAGCAGAACCCCCCAGTACGAGGACTACACGGACGTTGTTCGGGATGGTGGCAATCAACGCCAGTACGAGCAACTATGTCACGGCCAGCACCTGTGCAGAAACCAGTACCAAAGTGTTCCCGCAGAGGAGACCCAAGGAGGATACTGTCGACGAGGAAGACGGAAACACGACAGAGGATGCGAATATGCGCAGATACCAACGTATGAAGGCTTTGGGGCAGATATTAAAAATTGTGTTCCATCTTTCATGTAATTAATGTTCATGCATTTAATGACTGCAAGTGAACATTTGATGCGCATGTCGCGTATTGGGAAGGGACTTCGTCAGAATCGGTTTACAGTAGAGGCAGTCGTACTTAGTGCCTGGCTCTGAACACGCTCGGATGGTCGTTCGTTCATGATGGCAGAGGGAGACGACTAGAAGCTTCTTGTGGGTCGTTGGCCGGTAACTGCATCTCTCCAGTGCTAGAGACGCAACGGGTTGTGTGAAGACAGCTAGAGATGGACATGGTGAGGTCGATGCGGTTCTGGCCTTAGCCCTGAGAATGAGATAGGAAGGATCTGCGCCCTACCTTCTTCCCAGACAATCGATTTGAATCGATATCCTCAGCGGCCCTATGCTTACCCTGGTCGGGTTGGTGTGAATAGCCCATAGCAGCCATGGGAATTAGAAGGACAACACAGCGCACCTGAGAGCATCGCCGACGTACGGATAAATAACCTTGCAGTATTCGTTGTCCGTGCTAAGTCCTTGAGGCTTCCAAATAAACCCATATTGCGTTGCTTGTAGGGATTCAAACACGAGTTATGTAGAGACGAAAGCGGTGGGTTTCATCAGACGCTGCACCCACGAGCGCTTCTTACCGACCGAGATTGATGAACTCGGCGCCCTTTCCATCGTCGAAAACATTGGCTTCATTTCCAGAGATCGGGGCCAGAGTTTGAAACACTGTTGAGCAAAATCAGGGAGGCGAATATCATTCTCTGCTGCCGAGGAGAACCAAAGTCCAGAGATCCGATCTCAAAGGCATGAGACGGAGGCGCTCATCCGCTATTTCTGCGCTGGGCAGCGAAGCAATGGCGTGGCCAATGAGGAGAGCGACTCTCATGCCACAAGTCCTCTGGAACGAGTTTCGAGAGACGGAGGATGTCTTATGGGATTGTGGCGTTTCGAACACTAGGGTGAAGCTTCTCCAAAGTGATCATGCGGGCGATACGACGGAGGCTATTGCAAGAGCAATCGCTCATGTCGGGAGGCGACGGTTGGAGTATTGAAATAATTCACGTTTTCAAAATCAACTAGACCGTCCATACGGGCGATTGTTTGCGGAAATCTGAAGTGAATAGTGACCTGAGGCCTTGAGGGACAACCAGTCACGTCTATCTTCTGTTTGTGGAAACCGAACAAGAGCTGAACAGAGCCTCGTAGCGAGAATTGAGGAAAGAGCGGCCAGAGATGGGAGCAAGGAGGGAGAAAGAAACGCCAATGCTGTTCAAGTCGGTAATCAAGATATCGTGGGACTTCCCTTCCACAATTGGGATAGCAAAGAGATCCCGAAACTTCCCGCGCCTTCACCTCTTTGTTCTGTACCCTGTCTTTTCCTTTTCCTCAATTTAGCACTCTTTCTTTGCTATTCCAGAAGGCATTGTTCGGCACTGTACTAACGGCAATCATCAAGCGCCGAGAAACGACACCATGTGTTGATCAAGAGGCAAACGGTCGAACACGAGGAAAAAGAGGCAAAGAATTTCACGCTGTATCCACCCTTCAAGAAACCCTTGTTTGGTACACGCGAGTCACTTGGAAGGAAGTCGATGCGAGAATAGCGCGCACAAGAGGTGAGAGACGGGGCAACATGCAAATGCGTCTACCCTAGCTCATCGATCTTGAGTTTCCCATGAAGCCAAAAATGTGCTCACACGAGCTGACGGATGAATCGTTGATCTGGTACCATGATCATCGTGAACGCCGGGCGACCAGAAACAAGCTCTCAGGGACTAGAAGGGTCTCGCAGGACTGCCTCGAGTTGCGAGCTCCAATGGGACACACCCTGATGCGTGAAGGCTTCAGGCGGAGTGCACCCTGAAGGCTATTCTACCGTGTCCATATCATAAAATTTCAGGTCCTCATCTCCCTCTAAGCTCCAAGTATGAATTCCTGGCTCAAAGTTCTGTCAGGATACAGCGCTCAACGTTCTCAACTTCCTAAAATTGTGTTGGTTGGATGTATGCCGTCAATCCCACTCTCCTCCCCGTCGTGATCCTTCCTTCCTTATAGTTCTTGTATCATCCCATCCCTGACCCTTCTTCTGAGCTCCAGATATTCCGGGATTTGGCTACGGCTAAAGTTATGTGGGGAAAGCACTTGCTTCTTGCATGCCAATTACGCAAAATGAACGTTGGATGAACCGGTTTAGGCTGGGAACAGCGTCAACCTTCATGCTGAACAAAATCTTCGAAGCGCGCTTTCCCTGCAAGACCGACCAATTCCCACGAGCGGCAATTCGCCGTTTTCTGCTCTGCCTTTGTGCCGCGTCGTGACGCCCTTCGTAAGCATGCCTCAGGATCCACATCCGTTGTTTCTTCTCACATGTTGTCAGTCGGTCATACTGGAGACAAAGGAAGCTCGCGACGGAACTGAGATTCGCCCCTGCACGACGTCGGAAGTGAAGACGCCGTTGTCCCTCCTTTGGATGTCTGCCCACGCACGCCAACGCCAGCTGTTCGGATTTCCTCGAGGATCTGTTTGGCTAGCGCGCCTCGCGTCTCATTTCATTCATGGGTTTTCCCTTGTCTGTCTAGCTTGTTGTCTCCGCTGGCGGTTCTGTCTCCCATGGACGGTCTCGACTCTCGAACGTCATTCATTGTTCAGCCCCGTGGCTTGAACGGGCCCTCGAAGCGGCTCAGAACGGACAGAGGCGAGTAGCCAGATTACCGTCGATGACTTGCGTCCGCGTCATGTCTTCAACACTACACATTGCCCTCGAAGTCCGTCTTCCCGCATTCGCTGAACCTGAGTGTGGGTGTCGTCGTCTAGAGTACACACTTGTGGACAACACAACGGTTCTTCCAGGTAAACCCAATGGATTTGCCACGATTCACCTTGATGTCAGATACAACCACGCATCGAAGGAACAACGATGATTCTGTATGAGATCACCGTCCAAGAGGCTCGCGTCCAGGCTCGGAAGAAATTTAGAAGGACTTTGATATCATGACACCACATCATCCTTCGTTCCCACCTCCCTCGTCGGGTGCGCTTCTTCAATGTTCTCACACCAGCTGCGCCTGCGATTTGTGGGCAGGTGTGAGTGGCCTTGAGGTTCTTACTGCGTTATAGTCGGCGAAATTGGTGGACGAAGAACGCCGTTGCCAATAGTCTGTGAAGCGAATTCGGAGATTTGATGCTGGATTGTGGCGTCACATCCTCTTTCGTACAAGTTACGCTCGAGGAACGGCCTCCCTGCCTCGTCCAGCCTTGGCGCCGCGATAATCCGGGCTCAGCCTCACCTGGAGTCGCGTCCTGTCATACCCATCGTCATCACCGCGTTCTTCTTTCATTTCATTCCCGCCTGGTCTGGAGAGAGATCCTCTCGCCTTTGCTTCGGAATTTCCCATGTTCCGTTTAACATGCCACCAGTGCCATGACACACGGAAGTCCTGGATGAGCATCAGCAACATCATCATCATCAATGAACGTTGTCTTGCCCATACTTACCTCGACCTTCCGTGAGACCATCCAGGGGCTTTCAAAACACAAAAAGCATGCTTCTGTCAATTTTCTCTGTTTTGGTCGAGCCAAGCTGGGTCGAAGTGATACCTCCGGGGACTTGGGAGAATCGAATACACAAAGGACACGAGGTGGACTGCAGGCTCCAATGCCTGAGAGATCGGCCGTTCTTTAGGGCATGGAGTGCATAAGCGCGGGGTGCGGTGCTTGTTCCTCTCTTAGCCTGGGAAGGGATACCGGCGCTCGGGAAGTGTGGTGCTTGATGGACCTTCGTCATGGACCTTGGTCTTTTGGGCTTCTGGGTTCGGCGGTGCATGGAGAGCGATGGCTGGAGCGAAAGCTGCATGGTGTCTCGAGCATTTTTTCGTCGCTGTTCACGCGCCCGAGGTTTGGTACCGAGTGTGATTATTCTGAAGGGAGTGAAAGTCATCACTCTGCCGCACTCAACCTCGAGGAAATTATTTTCGGCAGGATACAGAACAATTGTGAGTGACTTCATTACAGAAGAAGTCTCTCACATTTAGCGTTCTTTATGTAATAATGAGCCGCCTTCGTATTCCATTCCTTGTCTTCACAGCACGACAAAAACAAACTGTTTCATACCTTTCTTCGTTTAATTATAAGCACTGCCGCTTGCTGGGCGTTTGTCGTGCGACTAATAATTCTTCCCACAGTGTCGGGCGGCTCGTATTACTGCCTTTTCGTGCATTCAGCGCTGGGAACTCGTGCATCATAAATATACGATGGAAGATGAGACAGGCGCTTTTTCTGCCTCCCTCTGTCGCATCCCAACCCCACCCTTCTACCGCGTTGCCTTTCAAATTTAATCTGCAATCTATCAAACTCCCGATGAGGACGCGCTGTGCATGTCCTTGAGAACATTGCCTCTCTCTTGCTATATTTGCGTTTCCCATTCCCAGACGTGCCGTCGTCTCGCTGCTCTGAGTTTCCGTCTGAGCGCCACCAGTTGCCCGCAACCGCCAGCCGTTGTGAACGCGAGAATGGTAACAGAACAGCATCTCTCTGAGGTCGGACCTTCGTGCCGTCAGAATGAGACTTTATTAATAATTCTCTTTCAAGTCTGAGTGGCGTGTAGGATTCTGTTCTTTTAATTCACACCATTGGAGATGGAATGTTGTATTATGCACACCTTTGTTCTAAATCTTACAGTTGGGTGCTCTTGGATCCCACTGTGCTGCTCTCTGGAAGGCGGACATCCGGTGCTCATGCAGATCGAGAATTCAACTGGGGGAGCAAAGAACCTGCTCCCCCAGAATAACACTGTCTTTCTGAACCAGTCCAGGGGCGTGGACTCAGTGGACCGTTATGAGTTCAGGATTTCAATTATTCGCAACGTGATCAACGTGATCACGCGTCGACATGGCGCAGATCACCGATGCTGCGAAGTTGCGTGATCGCGATGGGTACTGCCATTGAATTTGGCCGTGCGCCACACACACGTCCAAAACAGATAGTAATACCAAATGGTGCTGTCCTCACGTGAGCATGAGGTGTCTAGGCCCTTCGACACTACGCACGCCAAGGCCCTCTCTGTGCTTCCCCTCCTGCCTTTTCCATCGTGGCATCGACATCGACATCGCCATCGGACGTGATGCATCTCACCTCGCCTAGCACCTTCGAAGGTCGATGACGGCTATATCTGCGTGGGTGTAGGCTTCATCGGGCACTAGCCGAGAACATAACAGCTTGTCATCGTGTTGAAGAAGCGAAGAAAGACGTTTAATTGGACGGAAGGATCACCGGGCTCATACTCCCGATATAATCGATGCCCACGCAGGACGCACGGCCGAAGTCGAGAACCGGGGACGAGCGCGAGGACCATACGCCATCCCATCGCCATGATGAGGAAGGAGAGGAAGTCCGTTTAACTTCTAATTCTAATTGTATTCTATTCTATGCAATTGCCAGTAACACCGGCCGAGTGTTGGATGTTGAATGCATACACGCGTGCACACACTCTATCGATCGGTCTTTCTGTTCATCTGTCCGAGCCCGTCCAACCCTATGCCCCCTAGCCCTGCCCCAGTATTTCCCCGGCTGACCCACGTCGACCCACATCTGCCCGCGACGATCTCCCAAGAAGCAGAAGGCGAAGGGCGAAGCTGACGCCTGAGCCCTCCCTCTCGCCGCCCTGCGTCCGAATTACCTTGTATGAACTCGATCCCGTGCCAAAGCCTCAGTTCTCCTGCTTCCAGTCTCCTGCGCTCAACCCACCTTTCAAAATAGCCAAGTTCTCCCTTGACCGTTGACAGTCCGTTGATTAATACTTGTGACCTGGGTACGGGATATGTACAGGGCTACCTACACATAGCATTATAATCGCCCCGTATGACTAATATCCACTGGCCCGTTGCACCCACGCTCGCAGCCACATATCACCACGGGATGTGTTCGTGTCCATTTGAATGACCGTCTCCTTGTCCACCTTAGCAGCACATCCATGCACGGCGCCACCGGCTCTTGAGCTCGAGGGGGCGAGTACTGGCGTACACGGGGTTTCTCCTTGGTTTCGCCGCGCGTTCAGGAGGAAACGCCACGGTGGGAGACGGAACAAAGACAGGCCTGTCATATAAGTGCTCGCCTGTGTTTCGAGGGCTTCTCGTTCACGTTTTATATTTAGCCACATATCGATATCTGGCTTCTCGTGTCATGGACGGCTGGAACGGGTTACACGAGAGGCAGTGTCTCCCTCAGACTGCGCATCATGGACAGACAGACAGATTGAAAGACAAACATAAAATTCCTTGGCAAAGCGTGAAAGCCGAAAGGCGATTGCTTGAGGGATATAAATACCCGTAAAGGGATTGGGTAGGACTTCGAAATTGTGAACGGTTCATGGAGGTTATAGTAGTTGCAATGGAGTGATTAGTGGGAAGAAGGGGATGTATATTGCACTTGAATTATCTGAGCGAGTGCAAATGAGCGTTGGACGCTTCGTTTAGCATGTGCTTACCAGTGCTCTTTGTCCCAGCCCTAGCTTCGAAAGTCCAGCAGTGTCCTCACGTTCGAAGCTGGGACTCGTCGATTTTCCACTGAATCGATAGCGCAACAAACTAAAGCCTGCGCAACCCAGTCCGGACACACTGACAGCCACCCCGGAACCCTACTAAAGTTCCGATGCAATGCAAATGCAAATACTCTTACTTACTACGTACCGTGTACCTTGTACGGTCCCAGGTCCCTCTTCTTCCCCTTGGGCCTTAGGCCTCTCAGCCCGAAATCCGATGCCCGAGCCCAAATACCAATTAGCATCCCTTTCGGGGGAACTTCAATAATACACACAGCGGACGCCACAGGAGCGGCGCGCGGGCCGTTCGCACGCGCGTGGTCCACCTATGTAACTCTCATTACGATTAGCGTCCGGCGCTTCTCAAGACTCGAGCCGGACCTCCTTTCTCCACACGTGTGTAAGCACAGCGGTGGCATGCACAGGCGATTAATCCGACTTTCCCAGAGGCGCGGCCCTCGCGCGTACGCACGCAGCGCATCTGACCTGCGGACGGTTAAACTCGAATAAATGTCGTGGACTCGGATGCATGAGATTCGAGATAAGTACGAAGATAGATGTCGATATCTGATAGAGCAGATTGAGATCTCGCACTCCGCACCGCACCGCAGCGGTCGTGGTAATTTCGGAATCGCGTTAGTTTAGAGAGGACATTGGAGCTACTTACTACTGTCGGTGCATGTAAGTAGATTTATCATTCTAACGTGCTCAACGCTAATGAGCAGCTGACGCTCGACGCAACCTCTCTATCGCCTCACATTACATCTATTCGAGGATTCAGGCGAGTGGCGCCGGGCTTGTACACAGGAGGCACTTACTTTATCATTCGTGGACAAGGTAGGTGGCGTACGCTCTTAGGGTGACCTAAGTATATACGTAGATTAATTGACAAATGACGTCGCCGCTCTAGTACTCTAGTACGGGCCCGCGGGCCCGCTTCGAGACTCGAGAGCCCGTCCATCGAGACGTCTACCGAGAGAGATGATCAGTGCAAGCAAGCAATTATTACAGCAGTGAACGTGCCCAATTACGCTCCTCCATGGGTCTTCTCCTTTACTCGGGCATCGTCATCGCTATCGATAGCGATAGGACTGCCTTGTAGGCTGCCTATTAAGCGGCCTTGGTGAGAAAGGCTCCCACAGTAAGAGTCAAAAGCAGTCAAGCATCACCGCCTAGTATGCTCCCTTCAAGTTGGGCCCTTCACTGCGTGCGTTTAATTTTTACCTCAAAGACTCAACGAGTCCTGGGATACATGAAGGCGATAAACGCTAATAAACGAGTACGTGATAGGCTAGCAGAGGTGGTGCTGATGTATTTATAACTATCAAGTTTCCTCCGCGCATTTGCCCTGGACCCATTTTCGGAGGAAAGGGAAAGGAAAGGGAAAGGAAAAGGTTTGTAGGTCCCTTTCATCTCCATGGGCATACAGCATACTCTGAAAGATAAGCTAACGCACCTGGCTTATTACCCTTCATCCACATTTACCGAGCCGAAAACGTCTGTCGAATGAGAGCGCGTATGTCAACGCGCTTAGACTCGATCGACGCGTCAGTCGAGTTCGACAGCAGCTCATTTAATTACCGCCTACGTATACGGTATACGCCTCCTCTCCAATGCGTGTATTTTTACCTCAAAGGCTCAAGGGTGGTTTAGGTAGCCTTTCAAAGCTTTACTACTACTACTTGCTTTAGTGGTAGCTGATCAGCGAGCGGCCGGGGCGGCTTGTGGGGTCACCTCGAGCAACCTTTTAGTTCTAAAAAAAGCGTTTCGACGGCGTACACACAGTATCGAACTGCCGCCTGCGTGCGCCTCGAGAGTGGTTACCTCATTAAAAGGCCGAGCGTTCCCTTCATCTCCGCGAGAATAAGTAATCCTTTCTATCGCGAACTCGACCGTGACGCTAGAGCCTAGCGCTACATGATCGGCGAACTGAGGCGCTGATGACTCGATTCTCGAGCTCGTATCTAAATTCCCTTCTCTGCTCCCATGGAATACGCCACAAGATATCTGAACTTGAAGTAGAGCGCGTATTGCCCAACTTCTCCAAGTACGTGGACCGGTACCCTGGCCGACCCCAGAAAATGCGCCTCGAGGTGCCGCTAGGGCTAGGGAATTTCAAACCTGGAAACAGAGAAAGCTTTCCCAATGTTCATTGTTCCGACCCAGCGACGCGGCGCGCTCGAGGCATCGATGCCAGCTTCACCCTCAAGTTCGCTCTCCCAGTCCTTCAACTTACTCTCTTCGTCCCCCTCTCCCAACTTCCTCAGAGCCTCCATCCAAAGTCAACTATATATAGTCATAATTATGACATCAGACACTGTACTCAGCTGCTTCGACCTCGAGGATTCCTAGTACTTAACGCCTCAACGCCGCCTCGAGGCTGAGGCTAAGGTTGATCATGGAGATAGCGACAGGGGCTCCGTCTCTTCTATCGTCCTACATAACCTCTATCGTAGCCTACCGGTCTATCGTGGCGTCACCGATCACCGATTCCAGATAGATATAACCAGTTACTAGTTACTAGTTACCCATTGCCAATTCCTCTCTTCGTGGTGGTACGAGGGGCATATGACAGACTGTGATTTGGTAGAGCACCGCGAACGTTAACGTCGAGTGAACGTGAATACTGAACGGTTCCTTTCTCAGCCGCACCTCGCCCCACGGGAGAGAAGCCCGGATCGATGAACGAGGAGAGCCCGATATCGACTGAATGTTCCGTTCGATTACTTGGAAGACGAAGACGCGGTGGAAGTATACGAGAAGCAAGCACTCCAGTCAGCCCTTAGGGTACTTACCCGTGAATTCGAAGACAACAAACGAATGACGAATGAGTCCCTTCCCCTCATCCGATCCTCTCTTCACAGAAGTTCTTTTGCATTCCCCAATCACACAAAACCCTCCGAGAGACAAGACAAGAACATTATCCCATTCAAGCGTAAGTACACTACAATTTGTATGCTAATTCACGTTCACAGTCAACAAGCTAAAAATTACTCCGTCCTTCTCCACTCTCTGGTTCCGATGATGGAGGGGAGGGGGGAGAAGGAGGTGGGGTACACTAAGTAAGTAAACAAACAACCTAAGTAAGTAAACAAACAAGGTGTGCGGGGTGCGGGTTGTGGTACAGATGGATTGGGTCGAGCGAAATTGGGAGTCATCGTGAACGAATGCGTGTATGCAAGGCCAGGGGGCCAAGAGGCAAGAGGCAAGATGAAGAAGAAGAAGAAGATGGAGGTAAACGGAGGTAGGTAAGTAAACGGGAGGAAGAGGTAATGAAGTAAGGGGCAAGATAATGAAGAAGGAAGAGAACCCCGGGGAGGTCCAGGGGCTATTAAGCCGCACCACTCACGAATCACTCATTCACTCACGGACAGCGAACGAACGAACGAGCGATGTAAGAGGCGACTTGAGTATACCGAGTTGATTAGTCGACGATTGAGGAAGGTTTTATCGTACGCGGATGAGTTGATTTGGAATTTGTTGATTTGCTTTGGCGATGAGGCGGACGAAGAGGGTGGTGAAAGGGAAGGGAAGAGGCCAGAAGGGAGGTGGTGGTGGTGGTGGTGGGAAAGGGATGTGAAGAAAGGGAGATTACGAACGACCGTAGCGTAGATGAGGTCAAGGTCGAGGAAGATGATGATGGAGATGGAGATGGGGAATGAGAATAAGGAGATGTGTATGCGGTCGAATGATGATGAAAGGAAAGGAAAGGAAAGGAAATAAAGAAAATCGAAAATCGAAAAAAGGCAACACGAAAAGGAACCTCGTCTAACCCTGCGCCTCCGCCGCGCGAGCTGGGCTGAGTGTATGCAGTCATAGTGTATGCGCCAACAGCCAACCGCGCCACGACCGCGAAAGGCTAGAGTCCATTGCGCCACCTCCACTCAGCCTGAGCTAAGTAACCCGGGACCATTCCACCAGCCACCATGGCCAGCGGCGTATCTCACGCCCCAACGCCTCCAACGGCCCAACGCCCCCAACGCCCACGCCGCAAAACGCTTGTCCTGGTCTTCCCCCTTGCCTTTGTCTTCGTCTTGCCTGTGTTCTCGCTTGCATACACGCACGCACACACACACACTTGATTCGCGCGATACAACCGCCGACGAACGCGGCACCCCGAGTGAGCGACGAATGGAAGCGACTCCGCGGCCCGAGGGTGTGAGAACGCACACCCACGCGCACAAGCGTCAAGCGCTGAGCGAGCCGAAGAACAAAGAACAAAAACAAAGGAAAATCTCGGAGGCTGCACAGCGCCGCACCACCGCGCCTTAGCGGTACCCTTTGTCCAAGTATGCGTGTGCGTGTGCGTGTGCGTATGCGTGGGCGTGGGCGTGGGCGAGAGTGTATGCGGTTCGCCCGTAGCCTGTGCCGATATTGTCCTTTTGTCGTTTGGTGGGAACGCACACACGAATATGCGCACACGGCGGCACACACGGAGGCGGTGGTCTTGCTCTTGCACGCACACGCACGAGACGCCGATGGGAAGACCGGATTCCGGATTACGTACGCACCCGAGTCGACCGTCTGCGAAAGACAAAAGAGGACTCGGCTGGCTTGCAGACTTGTTGACAAGCGCGGGGAAGTGGACGGACAAGCACCGACTTGTAGGCTCGTGGACGGATGGGACAGAAGAAGACAGGTTGGCAGCGCGGGCGGGAGTGGGGGACGGGGAAAGCGCCGAGTTGGGGACGTGGGATGGGTGGATGCGGGGTGAGGTTGGCGTTGGCGTGGAGGTTGGGTTGGCGTGTGTGGGAAGGGAGAAGGTATTAGATGGGGCGGATGGGTGGACGGATTGGGCAGTAGGATGGGATGGTGGGCCGGAATGGGAAGGGGCTTGAGGGTGGTGCGAGAAGAGGAGAGGCGACGCCAGAGCCAGAGACAGAGCAAACTTGGCTGGGAGCGAGGCGTTGGACGAGGGAAGTGTGATGCAACACGATGGAGAAGGAACCAACCACAGATGGGATGGGAACCTGGTCATCTCGTCTCGTCTTGCTAGCGTGAACTCTGAGAGAGCTGACGGCCCCCAGCCAAAAATAACCACCACCACCAGTGCATCGCTGGAGCCTACTGCCGATGGTCGTCCGTCTTGCTGTAAGCAGGGGTCGAGGGTTGTCGCTGGAAGTGTAACTGGAAGAGGAAGAGGAACCACCGACACCGAGACTGAGGATGAGAATGAGGACGAGAATGAGGCTGAGAATGAGGTAGAGGAAGGGAAGGGGAAGGGGAAGGGAAAGAGAGCAATGCAATGCAATAAAGATAATTATGCGCCAGGCGCGATGGTTCGCTGCGGTGTTCCGTGGTTGTCGAGATGCTGGATGCTGGATGTTCGAGTCTTCAATCACTTCTTCCTCCTCTCCCCTCCTCCCCTCTCCTCCTCCAAAACCAACCCCACCTCCCTTCACTCAAAAGCATACTCAACAGCCCCCCAACACGCCTCGCTCCCCACCGCCTTCCCATGCGCGCCGTGCGCCCTCAAACTCTGCAGCGTGGGGAAGAACGCGTCGCACGCGGGGCACGGGTGCATCTCGAGCTCGGCGGAGGTGATGCTCGAGGTGTTGCTGTACCGTCTGTATGCTAGTGAGGAGGGGTCGCGGTGGGAGTGGGAGTGGGGGTGCGGACGGCGCGAGGGGGAGGTAGGGTTGGAGGGGCGGGACCAGGGGTTTAATGGGGCGGATGACGTAGAGGTGTGAGAGGAGGAGTGGGAGCGGGAGTGGGACGAGTGGGATGAGGACGACCGCGAGCGTTTGGACGAGGGCGGGTGTGGCGCCCCTGTGTCGTCGGCGTCGGCGTCGGCGTCGGCATCGGACGCTGGGGAGAGGGAAGCGAAGGGGAGTTTACGTTTCAGCGATAGCGACGATGGTTCTTTGTTGTAACACCACACACTATCAGCCTTCATATCCGCGCGCGATGCAATACGAGTAGCAACTCACCCGAGTGGGACTGAGACTGAGACTGAGAAAGCGCACCATCGCGCCACACCAAGATACGCCTCCAGCGGCTCTTCCACGAGTCACTGGGCGAGCGCGCCGCTGCAGTGGTGGGGGTGGGGGCCGTTGCGCGCCGGGGCGTCGTCTGCGTCTCGTCTCCTTCCACCTCCTGCTCCACCTCCTCCTCTGACGAACAATACGAGCTGCCTCCTTCCTCTTCCCCATCTCCCTCTACATCCCTATCCTGTGCGTCCCATCCCTCCTCTCCTTCCCTTCCCCCCATCCCCTCCTCCTCCTCTCTTTCTCCTTCCTCCTCTCCTCCTTCCGAGTCCTCTCCCTCTCCTTCCTTACCCTCTTCCTCACCCTCCTCGCCCCCCGATGAGGACTCATA